AACAGATTGTTGCCTCTTTCAACAGAGTTGGTTGGATTGCTTCCATCTCTGTGCACATTGCAGCCTTGCTAACGTGGTCCTCTATTGCAACAATCTAAATGTTTTGCTCAGCATTCCCTTTTTGTTTGTGTTTCCAGGGCTATTACTTTGAGATCTTAGGGCTGCACCCCAAGACAATTGGAGGTCCAAAATTGCTCTGAGCAAATCACATTGTTGCCACTTTCAACAGAGTTCGTTGGAATGCTTCCATCTCTGTGCCCATTGCAGCCTTACTATTGTGGTCCTCTACTGCAACCATCTGGATGTTTTGCTAAATTAATTGGAGGGCCACAATTGCTCTTAGCAAAACAGATCATTGCCACTTTCAATAGAGTTGGTTTGATTGCTTCCATCTCTGTGCACATCGCAGCCTTGCTAACTCAGTCCTCTATTGCAACAATCTGGCTGTTTTGTTCAGCGTTTCTTCGCTTTCTTTGTCTGTTTCCAGGGCAAATACTTTGAGATCTTGGGCCTGCACCCCAAGACAATTGGAGGGCCACAATTGCTCTGAGCAAACCAAATCATTGCCACTTTCAGTAGAGTTGGTTGGATTGCTTCCATCTCTGTACATATTGCAGCCTTGCTATTGTGGTCCTCTATTGCAACAATCTGGCTTTTTTGCTTAGCCTTCCTTCCCTTTTTCTTTTGAGGACAAATACTTTGAGATTTTGGGCCTGCACCCTAAGATAATTGGAGGGCCACAATTGCTCTGAACAAACTAAATCGTTGCCACTTTCAACAGAGTTTGTTGGATTATTTCCATCTCTGTGCATATCGCAGCCTTCCTATTGTAGTCCTCTATTGCAACCATCTGGCTGTTTCGCTCAGTGTTTCTTCGCTTTCTCTGTGTGTTTCAAGGTCAAATACTTTGAGATCTTGGGCCTGCATCCTAAGATAATTGGAGGGCCACAATTGCTCTGAGCGAAACGGATCGTTGCCACTTTCAATAGAGTTAGTTGGATTGCTTCCATCTCTGCGCACATCGCAGCCTTGCTAACGCGGTCCTCTATTGCAACAATCCGGCTATTTTGCTCAGTATTCCTTCCCTTTGTCTTTGTGTTTTGAGGGCAAATACTTTGAGATCTTGGGGCTGCACCCCAAGACAATTGGAGGGCCACAGATCATTGCCACTTTCAATGGAGTTGGTTGGATTGCTTCCATCTCTGTGCACATCGCAGCCTTGCTAATATGATTCTCTATTGCAACAATCCGGCTGTTTTGCTCAGCGTTCCTTCCTTTTTCTTTGTGTTTCCAGGGCAAATACTTCGAGATCCAATTCAGTCGAGGCGGGGAACCCGACGGAGGGAAGATCTCCAACTTCCTGCTGGAGAAATCCAGGGTCGTGAGCCAGAACTCCGGAGAGAGGAACTTCCACATCTACTACCAGGTGAGCACACCGGTGTAATCTGAAGACAAACAAGATGGCTGTAAAGATAATGGGCGCCAGTGTCTTTTTGGAACTCTTTTTGGACGCACTCTTACAATTTGATCTAATTTTACAATTCCAACCAGCTTCTGGAAGGTGCCAGTCCCGAGCAGAGGGAAGATCTGGGAATCACAACCCCGGACTATTACTATTATCTCAACCAGTCGGCCTCCTACAAAGTGGATGATGTCGATGACCGTCAGGAGTTTCAGGAAACACTGGTAAGTTGGGGCTGTGAGTTTAGCTCCAGGCAGGGATATTATCTATTTATCAAAATTACTATTATTATTATTAATAATAATAATAATAATAATTAATTACTCCTATATTATCATTATTATAATACCATTACTGCATTATCATCTTATTTATCATTTATTATTGCTACTGTATATCATATTTATTATTATTACTGTATTATTATACTTATTATTACAATAGTATATTTATTTATTATATTATCATTATTTTTATTATTACTACTGCTATATTATATTATTATTATTATATCATAAATATTATTACTATGTGGTTATTACTATATTATTTTTATGATGATGACTATATTATTTTTATTTATATAGTATCATTATTTGTATTATTTATGCTTATATTATATCATATTTATATTATTATTATATTAGCATATTTATTTAATATATTATCGTTATTTGTATTATTAATAATTCTATATTATATCATATTTATTATTA